ATCCCATCGCAATGTTTGAGTATGAAACCCGTCTGCCTGCAGAGTGAAGATAATGCCGTGTTTTCTCCCTGCCACCTTCTGTGCAAAACGATCGTGGTACTCCAATTCTATTGTTGACACGCTCCGCAAAACATCGCGTGACACTCAGGCGTAACTCGGTACGTATCTGCCTCTGCAAGGGGCCCGCCTTGAAGTAAAACTGCATCCAAATATACATCATCCAGGCATCGTCGACAGCTCCTTCCTTCATGCCGCAGGCGTTCCAGCGTATTACGTGAAAGTGACAATTAACCTTTTGCTCATCAAACTGATTCCCAAGCTTCATCCTTGTATGAGTACTGCCAACAATGGATAAAAAGGCACATCCCCATCCACATTTGCCAGCCTCCCCCTGTCCCCACCACCTCCCACTCCATCACCAGGTCTGTGCGTCACCACTCGTTTGCCCTATTTCGGGGCAATCAACTTATCGAAGTTTTGCTGGTATGCCGCTGCTGCTCCCAACAACTTCACATCAACCTCCTCTTTCGACCACTCGGCATCGCGAGCATCATTCCACCACACCCTTCCCTTCGAGTAGCTTGTGGCAATGTCCTTCTTTATCTTCTCGCCGTCGTTCAATGATCACTCGCACAACTTTCTGGACTGCATACGTTTTTTTTTCGTATTCGTGTCATGCATCGAATCCGGAATTCCATAAACTGTTGTGCCCATGACTTCGCGCTGAAGTTTCCCACGGTGCTTTTCCATGAAATTCCACATGGCTGCTTGAGACTTGAATCTTACTGCCCCACGCGCGGCAAACCTACCAAAGGCATACGTATCCTGAATATCCTCCTTTGCTTTATCTGCCTATTCCTGTAGGAAACCCTTGACGGTTACGTCCTTAGTGTCTTCGGGGAAGTCTCCACGCCAAAATACATCGTCCTAGATCTCTTCTCAAAGTGCGGTTCTCCTTTACCGTCTCCCTTCTTCGCGCAAGACCTCTAGCTTACACCTTGCGTAAACGTCTGGTTTCCTGGACTAGTGGTGCTCTGTCCAGACCCATTTTCTTTCATGATGGTGTCTACCAGTTCCGGGAGACGTTCTTTGGTGACCATGTCGGCCGTCATGCTTCCTACCTCTGCCTGCACCGACTCGGACGATTGCAATCCCTTTCAGCTGATGCTTTAGCCTCCTGGGTCAATTATTTTGATTATCCTACTTCTTTCGTCACATCCTGCATTACCCTTTTCATGCCCCTTATCATGCCCATCATCTTCTTCATCATCGACTTCATTGCTTTGATGTCATCCTCCGTCTCCTCCTCATCCTCTTCGCTCATGTCTTCCTTCTCTTCTTCCTTCTCCTTGTCGTCATCATGCGTCTTCTCCTCCGTCTTCGCCATCTTCCTGTCTGGGGCTGTTGGATTGCTGCCCTCAGCCTTCAATTTCTGGCCTTCTGCTCCCGTCTTTACCGCCTTCACCCCCTCGATCGTTCCCGACATGGCGTAGGCCAGAGACTACCAAAGTTGCGAGAGTGCGAGAGGACGAGAACTGGGACTCAGAGCCTCAAGAGCCTTGAGCTTTGAACGCAGTTATGAAGTATTCGTATTTTGATCATTTTTTCGACTGAATCCAAATCATTTTGCACGTGGGATTCAGACTCGGTTCGCATGTGAATCATGTGTGGCGTCTTGTTTGATTCGCATGTCCGTTGACATTCAGCTCGGCAGAACGTTCGTGGCTCCATTGGCGAACCTTCGCCACGCCGTCAACAAACCATAACAAACCATCATGGCGCTGTCAGAAAAACGCCCGTCAAAGGGGAGCTCAAATCCTCAGCCCGGTCCCTAGCACCGCGCCATCATGCTCGCAGCTTCGCAAACACAACAGGCCACGGACGACACGAACACTACCCTCGAAATTCGATTTCCCCGATAGCGGGGGCACTAAGGCTTCACATCTCGATCTTGGTTGTTCGAAGGTGCTCATGAAAATAGGGTTCAAGTAAGAACTAACTGCGGCACTGACGAAACGCATGGAAGACACCAGCGGCAGATCGTACGCTTGAATGTCTGCGGGAACTCAACAACCCTCCCTGTCTTCGAGGGCGTCGCCCTCCTCTCCTCACCCCTCCTCCTCACCCCGCTCCTCCTCCCTGGGCCCTTCGAGACATGCCCCGCGTCTCGCTCCAAGCGTCGGCCCGTAAGAGACTACATCGGCAGAAGAAGAGAAAACACATGAACATAAACTTTCGGCGCTCCGCGTGGATTTCTTGGATTCGCGCCGAGCCCCCCCTGCCTGGCGCGCGGGGCGCGCCGGGGGCGGTGCTGGAGGCGCCGCCGGGGGCGGTGCCGAAGGCGCCGCCGGGGGGGGCAGGCGCGGATCCAAGAAATCCGCGCGGAGCGCCGTAAGTTCACGTTCGCGTCGGAACGACGCCCGCGGCGAGTCGGGCCTCGGAACGACGCCCGCGGCGACGGCGAAGACCCCTAAGAGGGCCGTGGCTGGGGCGCAGCTGGTGCAGCGGGCGTCGATGCCCCGCCCACCCCACCCTGAAGACCTCGTCCGGGCCTGGGTGCCCCCGCCCCCCTTGAAGGCCTCCTCCCCCTCCTCCTTCTCCAATTCCTCCCTCCTCCTCCTCCTCCTCCTCCTCCAATTCCTCCTCCTCCTCCTCCTCCTCCTCCTCCTTCTCCTCCTCCTCCTTCTTCTCCTCCTCCTTCTCCTCTTCCTCCTCCTCCTCTTCCTGCTACCCAGCCTCCTCCTCCGCCTCCTCCTCCTCCGCCTCCTCCTCCTCCTCCTGCTGCTCCTCCTCCTCCTCCTCCCCCTCCAATTCCTCCAATTCCTCCTCTCCCTCGCTCCCGAGGAGGGGCCCGTGGGCCGTCCAGCAAAACTCTGGGTTCGAGTCTTCGGCTTCCCCTCCCCAGGGGATGCCCGGCCGGGGAAGAACGTGCGGTTGAGCAAGAGCCGAGCGTCCCGGCATTCCTAAAGGCCTACAGTACCACGACATGCTCTCGACGCAAGACATGTCCGAATAGCAAAGACAAGGCTCTTATACCACAAAACCGATGCAGTACACAGCAAGACGGCCTCAACCAGACACGTTCTAAGGACATGTCGTTCAAACCGCACGAGGTTCTTAGAGCACGTTTTGGTGGACCTAGCTCTCATCTGCCACCATGCCTCTGGGCACGGAGTGGACGTGTCCTCAGGCCCTTTTTGCCTAATCCTCGAAGCCTCGATCCCCACTCCTGCGGAGATCTTGCAGGAGCCTGGACCCCGAATGTTCAAACTCTCCCAGGGCTTCCCGCGTGCCCCCCATGGGCTCCCCGCGTGCCCCCTGGTGGCTTCCCGCGTACCCTCTGGGCTCCCTCGCCTCTTGTCGCGTGACCATTTCGGGCCCAGGGGGGCCCCGAGATGGGCCGAGAGAGCCTCGAGGGGCCCCCCCAAGACTTTCCAAGAGGGCCTCGAAGCTTGGCGTTCTCGCCGTTCGGCTTCCCGACCGTCCCACAGACGGCCCTGGAGGCACCCAAGACCGCGCAAAGGCGGCTCAACTGGCCTCCAAGAGGGCCCCCAAACGGCCCCCAAGAGGCGCTCAAAACAGCCCGAGAGGCCCCAAGACGGTCCCGAAAGGGCCCAAGAGGGGAAACACGAATCCCAGGAGGCCCCAAGAGGCGCGCCCAGGAGGCTCCACGAGGCACCCAAGATGCCCCCAGAGGCCCCACGAGGCCCCCAAGCAAGAGGTCCAGAAGACGCCCCAAGACGCCTCCAAAACTGCCCCCAAGAGGCGTCCAAGCTGCCTCCAAAAGGCCCCCAAGAGGCCTCCCACGAGATTCCGACGAACATCCAATAGGCTTCATATTCACAAACCAGGCACGGTGGCGGGACGGACAGAAAGCCACTCGATAACACGAAGACGACGCATGGAAACAAAACGACCTCAGCCAGAAACGTTTCAAGAACACCCCGTGCAACTCACAAGCGGCTCTCGGGACATTCTTTTGGTGGGCCTGTGGGCGAGCCGGGACGCCTCGCCACTGGCGACTTTCAGGCACGCCTCGCCACAAGCGGCTCTCGGGACATTATTTTGTTTTGGTGGGCCTGTGGGCGAGCCGGGACGCCTCGCCACTGGCGACTTTCAGGCACGCCTCGCCATAAGCGGCTCTCGGGACATTCTTTTGTTTTGGTGGGCCTGTGGGCGAGCCGGGACGCCTCGCCACTGGCGACTTTCAGGCACGAAGGGGGCTCGCGCCAAGCGCGCGCGTGGGGCGCGCGCCGGACTGCCAGGCATAACGGGCTTCGCCCCCAGAGGCTTCGCCCCTCCGACCTCCTCGCTCCACGCGGGGGAGGGGGGGCAAGGACAGGGCGCGGAGACCGTGCGCCAGAACTCCCTGCTTCAGCACCGGCCCCCAACATCCTCCTCCTCCTCGCTATTCGCTCAACTCGAGGGGCAACGACGAAAGGGTAGGGTAGCAAGGGGCCAGGTAGACAATCAGCTCACGTAGCTGGCTTGCCTGGCGCCTCCTGGCGCTGGGGGGCGCGCATGTATCGAGGCGGGGCCCGGCGGCGGAGCCGAAACCAGCTGCATGCAGCAGATTTCGACCCCCCCCCCTTTCTATATCCTGTCCATCCGACCCGATCAACTCGGGGGGTAGCACAGCAGGTGGGGGGGTGCTTGCCGAGCCGGGTGCATTTAAACAGTTGTCCAAGCTACTCCGAGCGCGCCCACGTTCTAGGGAAATGCGAGGCGGAAAACAATCCTGTGCGGGGAGATTCCGCCACCTACTCCCGAGCGTCTCCTCTGAGACCCCCGCTGTTCCTCTCTCTCGTCTGCCCCGCCGAGAACCGACGAGAACGTCCGAGAACCTCAAACGCATCCTCCTCCTCGTCCTCCTCGTCCTCGTCCTCGTCCTCCTCCTGCTCATCCTCCTCCCCGTCAGTCTTTCAGCCGTCAACTACATGATCCCACGATGTGAAAACCAGCAGAGAGAGCGCGAGCGGGGAGAGGGGCAAAATGGGCTCCTCACCTCCTCCTGATGGCGATGCTGCTGCCGAAGTAGTTACTCGTGGTGCTGTGGTCAATTCCTCGCCTTAGAAAGATGAGCGATCCTACAACGTCTTTACTGTAGGTTCGTGCGGCGTCGGCGTGCGTACAGGTTTTTGACACCTCGTCGATTGTTCAACCTTGAACCGATCGCGGCCCCGATCGTTCAGAGTTGAATTCCGTCGGGTCCTGCAGCGTTACCGTGCCCCTCAGTGCTCCCGCGCCGCCTTGTCATGTGGAGTTCATTCAGCCTTGAACGCCTTCGCTGGCGTCGCCCGCGCGCCAGCGCCGCACGGACCTGCCGCATCATCGGAGGTCCCACGCTCCTCCTTCTCACCTCCTCCTGGTTCCTGGTTTCGGGGATGGACAGACTCCCCTTTAGTAAAACGTGGTTTAGTGAGAACGACCTGAGGCCCTAACCTGGCGGGCGCAAGCCTGGAAAATAACGGCCACGGCGTCCTCTCGAGAACCGAAAACGGACAAGTCACTAATCGACGTGTCACTGTTGGGGGTTCTGTCCACCCCCGATGGTTCCTGGTTGCTTGAAGCTCCTGCGGATGGAGCCCTTCCCCCCCCTCTGGGGGAGGTCGGCCCCAGGGGGGGGTGATCAACCTAGAGCCCGGCCACTGCTGGAGCACCGCTCCAGGAGTCGCTGGCCGATGGGGGCACCTGTTCAGGAGTAGGCCAGACGGGCAGTGACAGACCGAGAGGGGAGGGAGAGAGAGAAAGGATGCCCTCCTCCTCCTCCTCCTCCGCCTCCTCCTCCTCCTCCTCCTCCTCCTCCTCCTCCTTCGCCTCCTCCTCCTCCGCTTCCTCCTCCTCCTCCGCTTCCTCCTCCTCCTCCTCCTCCTCCTCCTCCTCCTCCTCCTCCTCCTCCCTCCCTCCCTCCCTCCCTCCCTCCCTCCCTCCCTCCCTCCCCTCCTCCCTCCCTCCCTCCCTCCCTTCCCCTCCTCCTCCTCCTCCTCCTCCTCCTCCGCCGTCTTCGTCCCCGTGTCTTCCTCCCTCTGGCCTCCGGGCAAGCCGAGCGCGCGGGCACGCCTCTGGCAGCGCCCCCTTCGCCGCGGAGGCGCCCGGGCCAGCCCGCGCGCCGCTGTCGAGACCCCCCGGCGCCATCCCGCCCAACCGCGCGCGACCCTTCTTGGCTGAGTCGATGGCGGGGGGTATCCATGCCTCTTGGGCTTGTTTTCCACCGCCACCACCAGAAGTAGGTAGGAGAGGGAGGGGGTCCTCCTCCTCCTCCTCCTCCTCCTCCTCCTCCTCCTCCTCCTCCTCCTCCTCCTTCCTCTTTTTCCTCTTCTTCCTCCTCCTCTTCCTCCATCTCCTTCCCCCCGCCAACTTATGGCTGTGGTGGTGGAAAGCAGGCCCCTCAACGTCCGGCGTTGCCGAAGGTGCCCCTGGCCCAAGGCGCCCCCAGCTTTTTGCTGTTCCCTTTCTGGAGCCCCTATAGGGGCCCTCTGGGCCTCGCGATGGGGTGCTCTGGAGGCCACGGGGGCCTCCGTGGAGATCTTGCGGGCACCTTGAGCAACGGGCGCTTCTGGCAACACCCGATCCACGGGGAGCGACTGCGGGGGTCCGGCTCGGGGGGGGGGGGAACGCCGAGCTGGAGTCGGCGAGACGTCGCCGATACATCGGCGAGGGGCCCCCCATGGCGACACCGCACGGTCCTGGGCGGGGTGGGGCGATCGGCCCCCCATCGGCGTTCCGTGGGCGATCAAGGGTCGATGCGTAACCTCCCTGAGCCCACTCTTGCCTGGCATTCAGGGGCGAAGACCTGAGGGGAACCAGGCCTCGGAACGAGCGGAAGCGACGGCCATGACCAAGACCGAACGCGGAAACGTCGGTGTCGATCCTGGTCATCGTCCATCTTGGTCATCGCCGATTCGTGGACCGTTCTCGCGAATCGGCGAAGGCCGACATGGGCCATGATCAAGACCAGCGTCGACAAGATCCCGCGACATCTTGTTCATGGCCATCGTTCTTCTACCCTCGAGAGCCACCCTTGGATAGAGGAACAGACAACCTGAACACAACCTTTTTGCGTCGGCGGCCAGGCAGACGGACTGCGCTGGCGGATAGGGCGTCGTGGGAGCAACGAGCGCGAATGAGGCCGCGATGCACGAGGGGGGAGGGCACGGCAGAAACACAACCTTCTGGCGGTCCGCGCGGGTTTCTTGGATCTGACTTGGACCCCCCCCCACTGGCGCGCGGAGCGCGCCAGGGGGCGCCAGGGGCGCCACCAGGGGGTCCCAGCGCCGATCCAAGAGATCGCGCGGACCGCCAGAAGTTTAGGTTGATGTCGACGTTTGTTCTTCGATTGGAGCCCCCCCCACGCCCCCCATTCGGCGGCGCGCACACAAGGGTAGGGGGAGGGGGGAAGGCTTCTCAGAAGGAGGCAACTTCTTAGCAGGCGCGAGCCTTACGTCTTCAATCAAGGCCGGCGCCTTCTAAGAAGCAGGGGCGCTTCAAAGATGCCTTCCCCCCTCCCCCCTACCCCCCCTCCGCGCGTGGCCGACTCATGCCCAAATCCTCCCCACGTGTACCCCCCCCCAGCTACAAAAAGGGCTGCGCCGCTGGGAGGCGCCGCCCTGCGGCGGCGGCGGAGCGCGTTTTGGCAGCTGCCGCCGTGCAGGGTGCGAGGGAGCGAGGGGGAGCCGCGGGAAGAGCGCGCCTCAGCGGAGGGGGGCGGCGCGCACAATGAGAAGCAGGGGTGCTCCTGAGCAGCCTTCCCCCCTCCGCCCAGATCCCCTCTGCGCGTGGCTGAGGAGGGGGCAACATCTGTACGTGTAGGTCGGGCATGTCCTCCTACAGGCGGATTCTGAACGAAAAATAGCAAACACCCAAAACATGCACCAACAATAATCGAACACACTCAAAAGATCGTCTCCTGACCAAGTTTGGACTGCTCTTTGCATTTCCCTCCTGAAGAATGACATGCCCGACTGAACTGTGCGGCCATCGTGGCTACCACACGGGATGCCAGGTAAGGCACGAACGAGAAGCCCTGTCCTCGGCGAGCCTCGGCCAAGGATCAGCTTCCCGACAACGGCCTGGATCGCAGGAGCGGCCCGAACACCACGGCCCCTGCTGAGCCCCAAGAGGACCTTGCTCTAGCCTCTTGGCCACATGCCTGGCACCGGTGTGCTGCCGTGGCTGCCGCGGTCTGCGACAGGCCCCCGCGAAATCCCCCCTGGCCCCTGCCGTTCCTGGCTGCTGCCAGATGCGGATGGCCGCCCCTGGCCCTGCTGGTGCCTGTTCAGCCTTGCCGGACTCCCTGCCTGCGGCCCACGGAGTCGCATGATTTGGCGAGAGCAAGATCCACGGGAATGCAGACAAGGGAAGAGAATGGCCCCAGCTTCGCGAGCCAGACTTAGTTTACTTGACCACTGAGTCCTGCAACACGCGGGGCCGTCAAGATGGCAGAAAGAGAGACGGCAATCACGCAAGCTGAACATAGTTGCAGGGGGTGGCATGGAACGTCCTCACCAACACAGAGTGAATAAGCAAATGGCACCTTTTCAACTTGCACGAGGCCGCACAATGTGCGCCAATACCGGTGCAGAACATCGCCCCTGACAGCACAAACGGCGCTCATCGGCGCTGAATGGTGCAAGCGAGACTCAATGTGGAAAGTTCACCAGTCTCGGATCTACGCCCTACAGTCAAAGGTTCAGATGTCTACTCCACGGCGGGCACATACTCCCAACAAAGGGTTTTGCTGAATGCAAGTGCCCTTCGCTCCACCGCTACAAGATCCAGACGGCCAGAGAGGGTGGACCTACTGCGGCCTCAAGCGAAGCTCCCCGCATTTAGAATGAAGCCTAAACCAGGACGCTTCGAACTCCCACAAACAGCTGCTGCAATCAATTCTGCGCAACAGCTTAGTATTGCTTCTCTTCGTTTGCCACTAGCTTCAATGGGGTGCACGCGTCAAGGGCGAAGACATCTGACCCTACTAAGATGACCCTCGTGGTACCCTATCGCTTTTGCCAGCGAACATGCAACAGACACGAGAGAAGACTAACCCCCAGCAGCGAGCAGAAGGGGCAGGCATCAAAGTGCAGACCTCTTCATCAAAAGTGCTGCCCTCCCTCCACTCCCTGCCGCTGCCCTCTCACGACCCCCCTCCCCATCGCCTGTTCTCTCCTCTCTCAACTATACCCCCTGACTTTTCCTTCTCTGCCTCTTGTTGATGTAGGGCACACAATTGAGCTTACTCGCTGGCTCTTCAACTCATCGACGGGACCTGCCGTTGGAAGTTCTCTCTCCCTGATGTCCGCCCATATTGCTCGCTGCTGGCAATGGGCGGTCGTGATGAGGAGCGGGGCTTACGTAAAGCTCTGTTCATGCCTGCTATAACGATCGGGTGGGCTGCCAATCTTTGATCCGAGCACAGTCACTATGATCTTGGCAGTTTCCTGCAGGGACTGCCTGGTTGTGTGGACTGGAGTGAGGCAGATTGATGACTGTCGCAAGGCTAGAAACAACACAACAACAAGTGTCTAGCAATACCCTGTCACTCCAACTCAATCCGCCGGCCCCCTTGCGGGGCCATCAGGCTGCGAAGATTAGGCTTGCAGCTCCCTGTGCCAGTTGCAGTTTCCAGTTTCCACTGTTGCAGTTATGTTTCCTGCTTCCTTACTGTTAACTGTTGCTGAACGCGCGAGGGGGGGCAGCCGAAAAGCGCCCTGGTTAGGTCCCCGAATCGCGTTGTTTGAATTCCCGGGGGGTCGTGGGACACATAAAAATATGATATGATATTCGCGTCTCCGAAGCCGTAATCCCTGATACATTGCGCCATATTCGTGTCTCCGAGGCCATAACCCTCGTAAATTATACGATAATCGCGTCCCCAAAGCCACAACCAATTGTAAATTGCGAAATGCTCGCGTCCCCAAGGCCATACACCCTCGCGAATTATACCAGATTCGCGCCCCCGAAACCATAAACCTTGGTAAACTACCAGCTATTCGCGCCCCCGAAGCCATAAACCCATGAATTTACTTCACATTCGCGTCCCCAAGGTCATGAACCTTTGTAAATCATGCAAGAGGTGCGTCCCCGAGGCCACAAACCCTCGCAAATTACAGAATGTTCGCGTCCCCAGGGCCGTATATCCTTGCAATGTATTCAATAGTTGCGCCTCCGAGGCCATAAACCATCGTGGAATTATGCAATAGTTGCGTCCCCGAGGCCACAAACCCTAGTAAATTACAACATATTCGCGTCCCCGAAACCATAAACCTTCGTAAACTAATATTGGCCCTTGCGTGAAGTCCCGACATTGCTTCACGTCAGCGTCCAGACATCCCAACACAACTCTGGCAGGTCCTATCTAAGTGGGGGCCGGCGGCATGGGGGCGGAACCCTTACGGATATTACGGCGAAACAACTTGCGTGTTGTTGCGCATTTGGAATGTCTCATTGCCGCTAAAACGCTGGGACTGAATTGTCTACATGCGGAGGCGCATTCGAGTCGAGTGGCTTCGTGAACAGCCCTCTCTGCCATGACCGATCCAAATCCAAAAGCCAGCTGCTAATCCATGTGCGACAGCCTTCATCTATCTTCAACTACCCAGAGGTTTATCTCAAATGGAGAGCAGGGCCGCGGTCTGGGATGCAGCGGTGAACCTCCAAATGGTCTCTTCTGCAACGAAATGCAAGACCAACGACTTGTCCCTGCAAGCTACGTCAACGATAGTTAGCACAACGCGCAGGCGATGGCGGGGGATACCAGTTTACCGTCAGAGGTCATAGGCGCTTAAGGAGGCGTCTGGAATTCTCGTTCAGGCCCGACGGATGAACTGCTGCAATGTGCAACGCGCGATGAAAGTCTGCAACACTAGTGCACCGCTGACGCTCGACCGGCAAATAACCACGCCACAATGTGGTGACATGCCTCTAGTAGTGCAAAGACGTCACGCAATGCTGGCTGGGGCGGTAGGGTCGACAAAATTGGTGCGGTTCCATCTCGTATGACGGAAGCACCCCCCCCAAGCTGACAGAGAAGTAATGCATATTACATTGCAGTCTGGACTGCCGCCTTACACGCTGCATGCTGCAAGCCTCGTGCGGGATGATGGTGGCAGGAGGCCGTACGACTTCCACAACAGAGCTACATGTGTATATGTGTATATATCGGTATCAGAGTGAAGGGGCCGAGCAGTCATTCGCTGTCCCTGGGCGCGTGGCTAAAGTGGGTTCTGCGGTGCGGATTGTTGTTGTTGGTGATGTTGTTGCTGTCGGTTGTTGGTTGTTGGTCATTGTTGTTGTTGCTGCTGCTGTTGTTCTTGTTGTTGCTGTTGTTATTGTTGTCGTTGCTGTTGTTGTTGGTGTTGTTGTTGTGCTTGTTGGTGTTGTTGTTGTTGTTGTTGCTGTTGTTCTTGTTGTTGCTGTTGTTGTTGTTGTTGTTGTTGTCGTTGTCGTTGTTGTTGTTGTTGTTGTTGGTGGTGTTGTTGTTGTTGTTTGTTGTTTGTTGTTTGTTGTTTGTTGTTTGTTGTTTGTTGTTTGTTTGTTGTCGTCGTCCCGCCCGCGACCCACCCTCGACCCGCCCGCGACCCGGCCCGCGAACCACCCGCAACCCGCCCGCGACCTGGCCCGCGACCCGCCCCGCGACCAACCCACGACCCACCCGCGACCCAACCCGACACCCGCCCGCGACCTACGCGCGACCCACACTCGACCCACCCACGACCCTCCCGCGACCAACCCGCGACCCACCCGCGACCCGGCCCGCGACCCACCCGCGACCCAACCACATTTCGTGAACTAAAACATCGGCCGGCTCGTTGTAGAATTGTCAAAATTCGGCGCGCGCTGCGGGCTTCTTCGGAGCCTCGCAGACTGCCGACGTCCCCGCCGCCCTCTCACACTTTTCCGCAACTGCGGGGGGCTACGTATATGCACACTTGGTAGGCCTAGTCAGGGAGCCGGGGGCGAGGGGACGCATGGGTGCGAGGAGGGGGTGATGGGGGAGAGGAGAGGGTCGATGTAAAACACTGGATCAGGGCAAGCATGGGGAAAAAGGGAATAGGGGAAGAGACGGTAGACAAGGAGATAATGAGGGCAACAGCAGCCGCACCAGGGAACACAACACCAGCAACGACTGGGATAATACGAATTGGATGGTGAAGAAGATACGCGGAGGGAGGGGAGAGCGCGAGAGAAGGAATGAGAGACAGATAGAGCAAGAGAGAGAGAGAGAGAGTGAGAACGAGAGACGTGCGTGTCTGGAAGCGAGCGGGCGCGAATTGGCGGGGGTGTCCCCCCCTCCTCACCAAGACTAAACATCGCTCTGGTCAGCTTGGGTGCGGGTGCGGTCTCCGTCCTGTGCCGTGATGGGTTTATCCGCCTTGCTGGAACTTGAAAGTATTCCCCAAATTCTGAAAAGTGCTCGCAAGGCATGGCCTGCCGTACTGGCCCTGTAAGAAACCAGGACTGAACGCGCGCAGGCTGCTCCGATCCCCTCCTATCCTTCCATTGCTCTTGACCCGTTGGGCCCTCCAGCGAGAACCATCAGCCCTCCCACTCCGCCGCCTCTGCCCTCTCTCGCCATGGCTCAGACGTCCATTCCACGTGCGCTTTTAGATATCACGAGTGTTTTTGTTCGCAAGATGATGCAATATCCTTCTGGATAGTCCTTGCCGGGAGAAAGTCAACACGTCCGAACGATGCCAAGCTCCCCCATTTCATCATCATCCTGTCCTCTCTTATCTTCCCGCTTGGTGCGCGACTCCTGGCCGCCGCGGCGAGATTGCTGGATGGAGCCGCGACCGTGTCCTCTGGCA